CTTCAGACAGCATCCAATTCGGCAGCCGGCGGGCCGCCGCCGCCGGGTGCAGCAGGACCGCCAGAGCCTCCCCCACGCGCCGTGCATCGGACGCGCGCGGCGGCGGCGCGGGGCGTGGCGCCGAGGCGGCGGCTGCGGTGCCGGGGCGGGGCTTGGGGCCGGTCTGGGGCAGCTGGAAGCCCCGGGCTGTCGCGAGCGCCGCCGCCAGGTGGCGGGCAGCTTCCGCCAGCTCCTCGGCCCCGTCTCCGCCCCCGCCACTGCTTCCGCGGCTGCTCGGCGCCCGCAGCACAGCCAGCGCCTCCGGCAGGGGCGGCATCTCGAGCTTCGTGCAGCAGAGCAGCGCCAGCTCGGCCGCGGCTGAGGCTGCGGCGCCGGCCGGGGACGCCTTCGCAGCCTGCGGGCCTTCTTTGGCGCCTTCGAGCTGGCCGGCCGAGCACTCCGCCTGCTTTGGCTTGAGCATGCCAGAGAATGCATTGAGTGCGTCCAGGGGCTTACGCTCCATCAGAAGGCCCAGGCTACGCTGAAGGCCGGCGCCCGGCTGGCCGGCCGCCGCCGCCTCCTCTTTCGGCTTGAGCATGGCGGAGAATACGTCAAGGGCGTCCAACGGCTTCCCCTCTTTCAGGAGGTCCAGCCCGCGCAGCAGGCGGGCCGGCAGCGGCGCCTGCACCGTCGTCCCGGCCCCGCGCCGCGCGCCGTCGCCGACGCTGATGGCGCCAGCGGCGGTATCGGTTGACGTCGCGTACCGCAGCAGTACGTCGCCCAGGCCCGGCGCATCAAGCGCCAGGTCGAGGGCGTCCCCTGCGCCGCCGCCGCCGCCGGCTGCGGCCGCCGCAGAGTGCTGCTGCAGCAGGGCGCGCAGCGCGGCGAGGGCGGTCTTGGGGTCGGGGGCGGCGGCCACGCCAACGGCAGCCTGCTTGAACTTGGCGGCCTGTGCGAGCCATTTGGAACGAGGGTTCACATGAGGAGACTTGATGTCAATGTAAATCTTAAATCGTGCGTTTGATGGTGAGTGGTGTGGGCATGTGTGTGTGCATTGGTGAATTGCATGCGTGCGTCCTCGCATGCATGCGGGTGTGCGCGCTTTCTGGCGCAGGGGTGAGGTGACTGTATGGGTTGTGATAGGGGCAGGAACAGTAGCGAAGGGCAGAGGCGTCGCCGCAAAAGTACCTTCTGAGCACCACCTGCTGGCGCGTCCCACCATTTGTGCTCCCTTCAACCTACCGCAAGCCGCTGCTCCTAAGGCTCCGCCTCGCAACAAGCAAGAAGGATGCCTCCTCCTCTGCCCCCACTTGCGCCCCGGCCCCCCCACTCACCGTGATGTAAACAGCCGCGTCCGCCTGCGCCCTGCGCGCCAGCCCGCCCAGCTTCTCGCCAGCCACCGCCTCCGCACGCCTCTTCTGGTTCACGATCTCTTGCAGCTGCCTGTCGGTGCTGCGATCCAGCTGCTCCAGCTCCCGCTGCACGCGCGCCAGCTCAGCGGCTTGCGCCGCGGCGGCGCGTCGCGCGGCCGCCTCCGCCTCCGCCTCAATTGCCTGGTGGGTAGGGCGCAGGTGCAACGTGCTGGGTGCATCCACTGCATCGACACGCGCCGGGCCTTGTCAATGCCCCTGCCCCTCTTGTTTTGTGCAGGCGCCGCAGCATTGCATTGTGAATACGGCGGCTTGCTTTGGGCTGATCGCGCGCCACGACAAGCCCTGCTCAGCTGCCACTCGCACCTTGGCGGCGTCCTGCGCTTTCGCGTCCTGCTCAAGCCGCTCCAGCTCCCGGGCAGCTTCCTCACGTCGGTCCTTCTCCCAGGCCGCCAGCTCCCGCCTGTTGGCGTGCTCCTGGGGAACGGGGGGCACAGGAATCCATGGTTGGGTGTGAGAAACACGTTGGGACCAAGCAATGGCATGTGGTGGCGACACGAGGGCAGGGCTGGTGATGTTTTTGAGTATGCAGCTCCAGGCAGCTGCATGCGGGCAGTGGCCATCAACCAGCATGCATCCAAGGCAACGGCACCCACTTAAGCCCTCTGTTGCAGACACACCCGCAGATCAACGAGCGGCTGCCAGACCCACCGTCACAGCCACCTCCTTCTCCAGCCGCTTCTGCTGCAGCTCCAACTCAACAGCTGCCTTGCGCGAGGCCAGCTGCGTCTCCAGCAGGGCCTGCTTCTTCTTGAGCTCCTCCACCCTGTGTGC